CCCGAAACTTGGTTATGGACCTCAATGCAAACAGGGTACTTTCTCATAAATTTTTATGAAATCAAATTACTATATTATTAACTAATTATAAACTTGATTAAGTAATTATACTTAACTTATAATAATAAATTGAATTATTTAGGAGTAATGGTTGCGCTGTTATCAAGAGCACAATCCCCGACACAATCACCTCGTGGTTCATCAGCGCATTCGCTATGCATATGGAGACTGGTCTGGGCATTGCACCCACACCTTCGAAGGTATGGTATTAGGGTTACCCAAAAACAAGTCATATGTAAAACAATTAAACCTAATTTTGGAAACCTTAGGTCACAGTTTTCCGACCGTTTTTCATCAAACTATCGCTGCCTTACTCTATAATAAGGGGCGAAACGGTAGCCATTGAGGCCATTGTCTTCAATTACACCACAAAACCAATTGAATCGGAAGTAGTATTTCATAACAAGAAACAAGAGTTTGAGTTTAGCGACCAATTGGACAAAAAAGGCGTAAATGTCTCTGAAAAGAGACAATTGGTGTCAATCCCTGCCAACGATGGTGTTTCGGTCACATTCACGATAACACCAAAAACTATGGGTTATATTGACATCAAACTTACGGCTACCTCAGCCATGGCTGGAGACTCTGTGCTCAAGAAACTACTGGTGAAAGCCGAGGGTCAGACACAACACTTTAATCAATCAGTTCTCGTGGATCTGAAAGAATCGGCGAATGTATTGACGAAAAATGTCTCAATAGTTATCCCGAAAATAGCGGTTCCCGGCTCTCAGAAAGTATGGGTGACAGCCATTGGAGACATAATGGGACCCATTGTTCATAATTTGGATGATTTACTGCAAATGCCATATGGATGTGGCGAACAGAATATGATGTAAAGAATATTCTTTAATATATTTTTCGCACATATATTAACATTTTGTTGATAATTAAAAATATTTTGCAGTAATTTAGTGCCGAATATCGTTGTATTGAATTACTTGAAACAAACGAATCGATTGACTCAACAAATCAAATCGAAAGCCATTTCTAATA